ATTATGGTAAATGAGTTTGCTTATTTAATCAACTCAGGTGACTGTGGAATCCCTTTTTAAAAAAACGTATGGAACAAGTCATCCCCAAACCAAACAGAGTACAATTACTGCAAACATGTGAGATAGCCTAGGAACTTGATAGACAGATTAGAAATTAACGGAAAAGATCCAGCTGCAACCCCAAGAGGTGGCTAGACAGTTGCATTGGGGATCTATCTCTTCCAGGTGTGGTCACTCCCTGAGGGACAAAGAAAGTCTTGCTTTGTGTTTCAGTCTGAGGAATAGAAACATCCTTACAATTGCAAAACTAACAATACCAGTACAAAATAGGAACCAGGGTAATGCTGGGTACATATGTTAGTACAGGAAGTACAGCACTGACCACTGATATACTGCCATCCTTAGATAAAAATGAAGACTTTTAAAAGCAAATGTGTCTTTGCTTGCTGATGAAGAGGAGTCAACGAGTGAGCCAGAGTAGCTTTCCATGGGAGAGGATTCCACAGTTGGAAGCAGCCACTGAGCAGTTGTCTCCATAAGAAACAAGCTCAATTTCAGTGTTTTTTGTGGAGTTGCTTTACAGAACTCTCTATCCTTCTTCACTTCTCAGGGTGCAGCCTAGATTTGCAGTAAGAGAGATAAAACACCAGTTGATTCATCTCCCCGATTAAGATGATGAATTCCTTAAGCTTTAATCTGTATAAATTTAAATGGAAATCCCAGTTAACGACTGATCATCTGCAAAACCAGTCTTCAGGATTATCACTTTCTAATCAGATGCTGGAAGTTCCACAAATGCCATCACAACAAGATCTTTGTTATTTTTGGACAGAGGTCTTCCATTTGGCAATCTTTGTGAGAAAGAAAAATTGCCACGGTTAACAAAAAAAAGGCAAGGTATGCAATGACTTCATTACCAGTATGAAACTGTTAACCCTTTCAGTTATATCTCACCTTCCTACATTTTTTCCAGTCCCTTTTCATTATTTTCTTCAGATAGTAGCAGCAAAGACTCTGATATTAGTCATTAAGTGAATAATCTCTGAATCGTACAGACAGCCTTCCACATTCTCTGGAATTAGGGGTATAGGACACCCCACAAAAATAAAAAACAAAGAATAAAAAAGGCTATCTGAGCTATCTCTTTCTCCAAAATAGGCTTAGTACTCTGGTAAGTTTGATATTTACTACCTCTGATAAGTTTGGAAGGGAGGAAACCAAGGAAGCATGGCTTATGTGTTATGCAATACAATACTAGTTCATATAAGTACTCTACAAAACTATATTTATAATTTGCCTGGGACTTCCAAAGGGCATAATAGCATAAATTACATTTTTTACATAAAGAATTAAATGGAATAGTAAATACTTCTTGCTTAATCATTGGCAATGGGACATTAATTTCCATTCTCCCTAAAGGTAACAAAACTAGTTAGGAGAATACAAGACAGTTTGTGACAAACATAGCTCCATCTTTCTGTAGAGAAGAATGACCTGAGACTCTGGACAGATACCTGGGGAGGACAATTACTGCCTGAGGTGGTTGGCTCAGTCTCAGTAATAGTAAGACTGGCCCATTTACTTGATTGTTGCTGATGCAACATAAAAGATACGGAGGCATTGGCAAATCCAATTAGCAGAAATAAGAAGTACTGTGATGATAATGCTTTTTTGCTCTCCCCATTGCATCAGTTCATGTTTGCAACTACAGCTTCACAGTTAACTATTGTTAACTATAAAACATAAGCAAAAGAGATTCATATACAACATACCATAAAATAGTTAGTTGGCATGGCAAAGAGAATGAGTTCCAATTTACATACAGTATGATTCCCATATCCATGCAGGAATAGATTCTTGGACTTATCGTGAAAACAGGAAACTGTGTAATAGCAAATCCTTTGAAATGAGTGAAATCTGTCAGAAGTTACCATAGAGCCATCATGGATGACAGAACATTCTAATGAGATATTATCTCTAGGAATTTGGTACAACTAAGGCAATGTTATGGTATCACCAGAAAATTCCTAGAGATAAAGTTTCTTTTTACATATGGGTAGTGAATCTGCAGGTACTTGTCCTGTTGCACTAAACTAGGATTTTAGGAGGTGCACTAAACTAGATAAATTGATATTCTTTTATTGCCTTAACACTGGACCAGTGACATCTGTATACACTGCCTATTATAGGACTCAGCATCAATGCCCATGACTGGCTGGACCTACAGTACAATAAATGGTCCTCCTTTGTCGTCTTTTCATCAGGGATTGACATAATAGTTTTGTAAAGCAGCTAGTTACCAGGCTCAACCTGACCATCAAACAACAAGTCATTGTGTATTACTGTTCCTTCAGTCCAAGAAGGTCACACATTCAACTATTAGTTACCAAGAAATTAGTGTGACATGAGGCACCTATCCTTGCCTTCACCTTCTCCATGTATTTAGACATTTAGGTATTCAGTTCCAACTCACTACTCCAAAAGACGATTACTTATCCAAGTCACTAATTAGAAAGTGAAAGTGAGTTGATTCCTTTCTCTGCTTTTCATGACACTTACATATGCTGCCTGAGGCTGTTGCTTCACTTGGCTTTGACATGGTCCTTCTGCAATAGCTATATGATTATGCTAATGGTAAATTCAGCATGCATTCCCCCATGCAGTTTTTGTTTTTAGCCATACCATTTTTTTTGTGCTTTTAGCCTTGTATGTGGGGTGAGTGCGTGTAATTTTCTCTATTGTAAGACACCTTGTGTCTCAGCTTGGTAAATATACACAGTTGGATTATTTCTACAAGATTATTGGTTAGTTCTTTTGTTGAATAGTCCTTCTCACTGTTGCTTTAAATTTAACCAGTAATCAGATTGTGGCCAAGGTGGTAAAACAGCAGCTCAGCAACCTTGAAGATAAAATGTGTCTTCTGACTCTTGAATTTTCTGCAGGATTACTTAGCCTCCCAGGTACGGATGAGGAAATTCATTAACTTCCCAGTTCTGACTCACTACCGTCTGCCATATGTCTCATCTAATCTGCAAAATTGACTGGTAACCTTTAAAGCAGATTGTGTGCCTCATTCAGTGGGAATTAAGGAGGTGCTATTTGCTCTGGTTTGTAATGCAAAGATTCCAAGGCAAGGGAAAGGAAGGAAGAATCAACTGTGTGGAGGTGATAGAAATTCACTGAGTGGCATCACTAGGAGGGTACAGAGGGTCAAAACTGCACCAGGTGACACAATCGGAGGAGTGACACCAAAATGACTGACTGTAAAAAATATTGTGCATTGTTTCAGCATCAATGTATTATTTTATATATAGATATAGATATATAAATGCTCTGTGCATAATGAGTACCTTAAAAACAAAAGAACCAATGAATGAAATCACACCAAATTTGGCAACAAAAGTCTCACAACATAAGGAGTGACCATCACTCAAAAATTATGATTTTGTCATTTGGGAGTTGTAGTTGCTGGGATTTACAGTTCACCTACAATCAAAGAGCATTCTGAACTCCACCAATTATGGCATTGAACCAGACATGGCATACAGGACTCCCATGACTGACAGAAAACATTAGAAGGGTTTGGTGGGCATTGACCTTGAGTTTGGGAGCTGTAGTTCACCTACATCCAGAGAGCACTGTGGACTCAAACAATGATGGATCTGGACCAAACTTGGCACAAGCACTCAATAAGCCCAAATATGAACACAAATGGAATTTGGGGAAAATAGACCTTGACATTTGGGAGTTATAGTCACTGGGATTCACAGTTCACCTACAATCAAAGAGCATTCTGAACCCCACGAATGACAAAATCGGGACAAACTTCCCACACAGAACCCCCATGACCAACAGAAAATACTTAAGGCCATCCAATCCAACTCCCTTCATCAGGGCAAGAAAACGTAATCAAAGTCCTCCTGACAAAGAGCCATCCAGCCATAGATAGATAGATAGATAGATAGATAGATAGATAGATAGATAGATAGATAGATAGATAGATAGATATTATTCACACACAGAGAGAGATAGTATCATAGATTTGAAAGGGATCCTTAAAGAAGGATAATGATATGTTGCATGTTCCAGAGTGGGCAAACCAGACACTCTCCACATCAACACTGACAAAGAAACAGCAAGAAATACTGTTTACCCACAAGCATAAAGAAATTACAAATATTAGAAACCAACATTTTCTCATTACTTTATTTACCAGATCAACAGACTGGGCCACAGCAACGCGTGGCAGGGGACGGCTAGTTATTTATGAAAGTGTACCTGTGGTTAGATAAAACTACAAAACATTTTCATAAACCTAGCTTACATGTACTGTTTCAATAGACCTATCAATTTTCCCCAAAGAAATGGGAAATCAGTGTTTCCATTTGATGTTGGATGTTTTGTTTTATGTCTGTTATAACAGGCTGTGCTTGTTATTTAATTTTAGTTTGTTAAGTTATAATTTGTATTTATATGTTGGGTTGTATAAATCTTGTCAGCACTGATGTATTATTGTTGTATTCGGGCATTGAATGTTTCCCTTTTATGTTTGTATTCCACCCTGAGTCCCTTTGGGGAGATAGAGCAGAATATAAATAAAGTTTTTTTATTATTATTATTATTATTATTATTATTAGATACAGATGGAGGTCCATGGGAGTGACTTCACAGAGATTATTAATGCAGGAAAAACCAGGCTCCAACAGCAAGCAATTCAAGATTGAATAGTTTTATTAGCCACTTGCTCAATTTAAAAAGATGACTTGGGGCAAATTTAATTTTTTTTTATCCTGTTCCACCTTTCTAGAGGAATTTCTAGACTCTTTAAGAAGGATAGCTTCTTAATATCTTGGTTTTTCAGCAGTGTTTTCTGAGCATATCTCCTTTTGGGGTCGTAATACTCCCATTTTGACAGTATGAGCATCATCACTTAGCAACTCAGTTTTATTAGATTAGTAAAAAGAATTAGCTATAAACCTGTTTCTGATATTTTTTCACAGGGAGTCTGCATCGGGCCACCAGTGTTCCAGAATATGTGTATAAACTAGACACAACTGAAACTGATTTTCCTTCAAGGCCTTCTTTTGGAACATCATATTATCAATCTCATCAGGTGAGAAATACTAAAAGAGCACATATTCATATGCATGTGCACACACAGAGAGTGAGCAACCTTCTCCAACTGGCACCATCCAGATATGATGGATGATAAGAAACATAATCTCAGTGCCAGAGTTAGGATTATAAGAGTTGTAATTCATTACACTTTTGCTGGAATAAATATGTACATTTAATAAGGAAAGAAAGAATATTGACTTGAAACAATACACTCAGGAAATATTTAAAAGAGTCTGGGTTTTGTTTTTTGCTTGTACAAACTAATTTGAAGCTGAAATAAAAACATTTAAAAGAGCAAACTGCTCTCATGTACAACATCTGTACCAGGAAGAAATCTAATCCTTATTGCAGACACTAGAGCTTTTGATTGTACAGGAGCCAAAAGGAATTCTGTCTTTGTTTATATCTGTTAGGCAAGTTATGGACCTTGTAGACTGTAGCTATCTTGTTAGGATTAAACTAAGTCTACTCTAGCATTTAATTACAGTGTCTGCATTTATGTAATTACTTACGTTGCCTTTTCCCTTTCTTCATTATCAATAGCCCCTGCTTTGCACCTGTCCTGCAGATTTCTCAAAGACTATTTCAGTTAGTTTTGATGTTAGATTACAACATTTGCGAATCTGAAAAGGACTGGGAAAGTAACACAAGTTTATGAAGAAATGCCAAGGCAATTATATTTAAAGCTCTTCAGATACTTTGGAAATAGAATCCCTGTTTGTTAACCCAACCACATGAGAACAACCTTCACAAATAATCACATCCCACCTATTGGTTGGATGTTTGACAGAAACCAGCCTTTGCAAGAGTGGTGAATAAATATCCAAGTTTTAGAAAGGAAGGGATAGATCATGGGCTGGCCATCAAAATTTAATATGTAGAGGATTAGACTTCAATTCCCCACTCACCTCTGAGATTTGGTAGTAATTTTGGACAACCCAATGTGTTCCTTTTCTAGCTAAACTCACATGTTCATTGAAATTAAAAAATATATAGAGGGAAAACTATTTGTGATGCCTTCAGCTCCCTCTTGGAGGAAGTGCATCATACAAATGTAAGAAATATGGAGATCTTGGGAATGGATGAGAACATGAAGAGCAAAAATGTTGCTAGATATGTTCTTTAGACACATATATGAACTCACATATGGTCTGACTACACATATCTCTAAGGTATCTTCTGACCATGACAATAGTAAATCTTAGTACAGCAAACAACCTGCATTCACACTGAGCTATTTAAAAGAGAAACATATTGAACACACACAGACCAAAGCATACATAAATAATAATCGCACTTGGAAAGAGGAAATATGATGGTAGAACATCATAAAAAGCAAACAATGAGAGAATCAATCAACCAGAGGTTTCCAGAAGACATCACAGCTCTGTTTCACCATTGCCTCACCACCAGCTACTTTCAGTGGGACAATGAGTTCTACGAACAGAAAGATGGAGTAGCTATGGGGAGCCCTCTCAGCCCGGTCATAGCTAATTTCTACATGGAACACTTTGAAAAACAAGCCCTGGAAACAGCAACCAAAAAGCCCATGATATGGTTCAGATATGTGGATGACACCTTCACTATTTGGAGCCATGGGGAAGAAGAACTCAACAGGTTCCTGGAACATCTGAATAGCATCCACCCAAACATCCAATTCACCATGGAAAAAGAAAATGAAGGAAGATTGCCTTTTCTAGATGTCCTAGTCATCCGCAAACCAGATCAACAATTGGGTCACACCGTTTACAGAAAACCCACACACACAGATAGATATCTACATAAAAACTCCAACCATCACCCAAGTCAAAAAAGAAGCACAATTAAAGCCTTGGCAGACCATGCAAAAAGACTCTCCAAACCCCACCACCTCCAAGATGAACTGAACTACCTAAACTGGACTCTACAGGCCAATCGAGATTCTATCTCAGATACCAGAAGAGCTGCAAGACCGTGAACAAGCCACGAGAGTCAAATGAAAGATCCACCCAGAGGAAAAGTGTTCTTGCCATACATTAAGGGAACCACTGACCGCAGAGGGAAGCTGATGAGGAAACACAACATACAAACCATCTACAGACCCACCAAGAAAATCCAACAAATGCTACGTTCAGCAAAGGACAAGAGGGATCCTCTCACCTCTGCAGGAGTCTACCGTATACCATGCAGCTGTGGACAAGTCTACATAGGGACCACCAAACGCAGCGCCCAGACACGAATCAAGGAACATGAAAGGCACTGCAAACTACTCCAACCAGAGAAATCAGCCATAGCAGAGCACCTGATGAACCAACCTGGACACAGCATATTATTTGAGAACACAGAAGTGCTGGACCACTCTCACAACCACCATGTCAGACTACACAGAGAAGCCATTGAAATCCACAAGCATGTGGACAATTTCAACAGAAAGGAAGAAACCATGAAAATGAACAAAATCTGGCTACCAGTATTAAAAACTCTAAAATTACAACAGCAAAACAACAGAGAGGAAACAAACAAGGACATCAAATCACCCTCAACAAAAGATTCCCCCAGGCGCTACCAAGCCATTGAATGCAAATCAAGGTGATCAGCTGAAACATCCACAGCTAGCCCCAGCAAACAAAAGTCCTTTGTCTCACCCTGGTCATTCCACAGATATATAAACCCATTTTTCCTAGTTCCAACAGACCTCATTACCTCTGAGGATGCTTGCCATAGATGCAGGCGAAACGTCAGGAGAAAAATTGCCTCCAGAACATGGCCATATAGCCCAGAAAAACCTACAACAATCAAATGAGAGAATTACACAAATAAATAGCTAATACAACACAATTGCCTCCAAATGTGGAAATGTTACTTCTAATAAACAAACTCACAAAGCCTAAGGGATTTTGAGACCCGAGCTATTACTAGGGATGTTTCAAAGCACTGGATTCAGATTGCATGAGGGGGTAAACAACATGGGATTTAGAAGGTGCTTAGAGAAAGAAGAAATAGAGAGAGGGGTTCAATGGGGGGAATAATCTTTTCTCTAAGCCACACACATTATTTGTTTGCTTGTTTGTTTGTTTGTTTGTATGCCACTTTATCCCACCCAAAGGAGACTCACAGCAGAAGGCGAGGAGGTAATTCATCTGTTCCAGATATTCCCACTCTTGTTAGATTTTTCCAAGGTAGAGCTATGAAGTGTTGTATTTCTAGCTGGGCAGGTGGAGAGGAAAATAACTTAATAAAAGTCCTTTCTGTGCAAGAATCAGAAGTTCAAGGGGATAAATGCTAACAAGATTCTCTGGCTAAACTTCTGAATTAAGAGAGGTCTGTATAAAATAGTATTTTCAGTTTATATAAGCAGGTAAGCATAGCCTAGCCAGCTGTTTCAACAAGATCAGGAGGCAGAAAGCTGCTTCTGGGAATCCAAGCTCAGAAATCAGCCAGTGGTTTCCTCCTTCAGAATAAAGTAAGCTGGAAACTGGCATGTTAAGCATGGTTTTGAGAGTGGGGAATGGACCTTTTAGGTTTTGCCCTTCCCAAGCTTGTGTATTTCACTCTTGATTTTTACATCATGTTGACTGAGACTCACCAGATATTTGACTTTCTGTGTGTGAGAGAGACTATGGTTGTATTTTGACAAAACAAAAGAGAAAAATGTGCTGTGCTGATCACGTTTCCTCAAAAGTAGCCTCATGTTCCATAATTTCATCAGTACAGGCAGTTCCCGAGTTATAACGTTCGACTTACCTACAACTCCTAGTTACAAATGGGATGAGGCAACAGAAATGAGAGAAATCTACCCCTAGGAAGTGAAATTCAGTTATCATGGAGGAAAATGTGTATCCACTGAAGCTTTCTCACCAGTCCTTGTCCCAACCACAACCAAAAATTTTCAAAATTCAATTCTCACAGCAACAAAAAGTGAGGTGAAATCTTCTGAACAGGGGCACAGACAGCAAAACAAATGTTACAGGGGTGGGTTGTTGTAGGTTTTTTCGGGCTATATGGCCATGGTCTAGAGGTATTCTCTCCTGACGTTTCGCCTGCATCTGTGGCAAGCATCCTCACCTCACTACCTCTGAGGATGCTTGCCATAGATGCAGGCGAAACGTAAGGAGAGAATGCCTCTAGACCATGGCCATATAGTCCGAAAAAACCTACAGCAACCCAGTGTTTCGGGCCATGAAAGCCTTCAACGTTACAGGGGTGTTTGCCTTTCCCTACGCTATCCAAAACTTTAAAAAATGGCTGGAGTGACACTTTTAAAAATCTGTTCTGACTTACATACAAATTCAACTTAAGAACAAACCTACAGAATCTTATGTTGTTTGTAACTTGGAGACTGCTTGTTTGTCTCTCTTCTCTTATGATTATAGTTAGCTTAGGATCTCCAGCACGTTATTTTCATCCCTGTCCTGCCCTATTAGCCTCAAATCTGCACATGCCAACTTTTCTTGGCCATTGGTTGCTGGCTGTCTTGTTATGCTTAATGATGTCTTAGGTTTTATTGTTTTGTTATTGTTTATTTTGACTATACACTGCTTTTGAAGGCATCTAATAGTTGCCTAAGTATAAGCCACCTTTAGTCCCCTCCAAGGTGGAGAAAGGTGGGGTAGAAATGTTGTAAATAAATAAATAAACTTTTATTATATTGGACTTGGTCCCATGTAAGCCACCCGAGTCCCTTCAGGGAGATTGAGGCAGGATATAAGAATAAAGTTGTTGTTGTTGTTGTTGTTGTTACAGCTAAACAGATCACATTCCTCATTTCTTTTCTACATAAGATCTGCCTCATGGATTTGACCAGAGAGGTCTTGTCCTAGACCAGACAAACTGAAGTAGTTCTAGTAAGAACTCACACATATAAACACATGTCTTGCCTTTGTAACTACAGGCATTGCGAGAATAGAAGGTGAATGAAATATGATACAAACACCAAGAAATAATATAAAAAGTGATAATTTTGAAATGGGAACTAGGATGAAGGAAAGGCACTGGTATTAACTCCCATTCAGGCTACTCACCTCCCGTGCCTGGAAGAACATGCAGAGACACAAAAACTATCCTGTCTTCTACAGGGCTGTCCTTGAAATGATCCAAGGTGTTTCCTGCCCTGAGGAGATGGGAACATGTTCAACCAGTATTGTGTCAACTGAGCTTCCAGGCTCAAATCAAGACTTCTGCCTCTTCCTGTCTCCATATCTTTATTTGTTTAAAGTTTGACACTTTGCTCATTAAAAAAAGATAAACAGGAGAGTACAATCCCATTGCCCATGGGATTTGTACCTGCAGTTTCATTTGTCCGTCCCCAACAATATATGTCCTCACTAGGTATTTTTCTGGTTCTCTGGCACAATTTTATGGTATTCTTGATCCAGATTGCCTTCATTTCAATCGAGTTTGCTGTTATCCACACTTCTGAAAATCCCCCAGGTAAAAGATTTCCAGATGTTTTTTCACCCCAAACTAGCACAAAGCATCCAAACCCAGCTGCCGATGTGTTGTTTTACTTCTCCCCCTGGTAAAGGCCTCAAATTGGCCTCAATGGCAGCTGGAAGTGACTTTGCATCCTTTCCAGTATGTCAAAACACAACAGTGCAGCCCACAGGGTGGTTGGAGATGGGGGTCAAGTAGGCATGGACTCTACCCTCAAAGTTGCCCAACTTTGTTCCAAACCTTAGCCACTCTGAGTCCCTCTATAAGGAGAGAGGGCAGGATATAAAAAAAAGTAAATAAAATCTTTTAAGACATAACAATTGTATAGCATATACTTTAAACATGCATTTATATCCTAAGGGAGGGAATGAAAATATTGCTGACAGTAAATATACTAAGTTGAAGGTGTCTGAAATGTTGAAAATATAAATATAGATCCTTCATTCATCCAGGAAAGGTTAATTACACCCAATTTATATTCATCCTATACAGACTGCTAATTTTGATTTGTATCTGTTCATTATGTTGGTGATTAATTTTATAAAGTATTTCATTTCTAAAAATGTAATAATGTGCATGCTTGGAAACTGTTATAAAATATATATTCCATATACATCCATGGCTATCTTATTCTGATGTTCTTCTCAATTGCTATATCACTCCTATCTGTTTTGTTCTTGATCTTTTTTCTAACAGGTAGGTTCCCAAAGTAGTTATGAAAATGGCTGGGGGCCTAGAATCCTTCCATATATTTCATACAGAACAACAGAAGACAAGTCTCAAAGGCAACCCTTGAAGAGATTAGAGGTTTCCCCTAATGGCAGTCCCGACAAGCCAGTTTTCTTCCAGAATGACTACCAGTACAACAGGGGGCTAACCATAAGGCATGGAGAAAGCAAGAGGTCCAGTGTCATGCCTCCAAGATACGCTCGGTCTGAGATCGTTGGCTATGCAACTCATAATGGTGGGAACCGAGGGTATAGTACTCAAAGACACTTCTATATTGGGCCTCCTAATGAAACTGTGGTTGATAGTGCCCCTAACAGCCCAAGAGCTCCAATTTATCAGCGAATTGGGAACAGTCGGAGCATGAACAACCTTTTGGAGAAAGAGAGCTACCTGACATCTGGTTCTGCCGTGGGACAAGTCCGAAACCCTGTTGCTTCCCAAATTGGATCTCAGCAAAAGCAGTCTATCAGATCCAGCTGGCACCAGAGTACCTTCAGATCTCAGAACACAAAGGAGGCTTCTCAACCAACTTCACCCACCAGCGGCACTACAGAGACAAGATTTGCAATGACCGCAGCTGAGGCAGCTGCAAGACGAAATGGTTTTGTAGAGCACGAGAGGGGAGTTGGCACCGGAACCCAGCCTGGGTGAGTTTTACCTACATACCTTCCAGGCATATGGGTCACTTTCAGTTTGTTATATACCTTTTAATATAATCAAACTGAAAGCAGGAGAGCGAGAGAGGGAGAGAGATATGTACATACACACACATAGTACAACCCCTGTATCCATGAGGGATATATTTCTGGACTTTGCATGGATACACAACACTGCTGATAATAGCAAAGTGCATTGAAATGAAGGGCCTCTCACCCAATAATATCATAGAGGAGCTATAAAATGTATTGTTGAAGGCTTTTGTGGCTGGAATCACTGGGTTGTTGTAGGTTTTTCGGGCTATATGGCCATGTTCTAGAAGCATTCTCTCCTGACGTTTCACCTGCATCTATGGCAAGCATCCTCAGAGGTTGTGAGGACCGAAAAACCTACAATGACCTATAAAATCCCTAGAAAAGACATGGATAAATGAAACCTCTTTTCCCATGGATCTGTGAGTTGCACTATGTGTGTGATAACTTTTGTTGTTGTACCTATCTTGCATTTATTTTCAACTGTCCCTCCAAATTCTATTGAGGGATGTATGCCAGCAACAAATAGGTCTTATTTCTCAGCTGCATGGAATTATATCCTTCCAAAAGTACTTTCATTGCTACAGGATTATTTTTTTTGCCACTGAATGTATTGTTTTCTCAGTGATCTTTTGGGTAGCCCATTGCTGGAATTTCTCCTCCATTCCACTGAGTTTAGCTGCATAATTTTGCATACTCAGGGATTTAAGTTTGCAGCTGTTAAGGTATACAGTGTCAGGGGGACAGAAGAGGGTTATTCACAATATCAGGCCAGAACACGTCCTGTAAAAAGAGTTATGTTTGGTGAGGACTGAACAAAACAGCTGAATTCTTCAGGTGACTGAGCAGTTTGCTGAATGAGAATATTTCCAGGAGGCTCAGTGCAGATAGGAGTTGTTTTGACAGTTTCTCAACAAGTATAGGAAAAAGCAATAAGACAGAACCAAAAAGACTTTTCCCTTGTTTATAACATTTTTGTATACCTTTCAAGGACTGGTTTCTTCATTGTGCAAAATATCACAAGACTCTCAGATCACAAATTCTGGGAGGTGGCAACAAAGAAGGTTTTTTTCGTGTTAGGTGCAACTTGAGAAACTGCAAGCTGCTTCTGGTGTGAGAGAATTGGCCGTCTGCAAAGACGTTGCCCAGGGGATGTCTGGATGTTTGATGTTTTACCTTCCTTGTGAGAGGCTTCTCTCATGTCCCCACATGGGGAGCTGAAGCTGACAGAGGGAGCTCACCCTGCTCTCCCCAGATTTGAACCGCTGACCTGTCAGTCAACTGTGCTGCTGGTTTAACCCATTGTGCAACTGGGGGCTCCAAAGGAGTCATAGAATCATAGAGTTGTGAGAGACCTCATGGGCCATCTAGTCCAACCCCCTGCCAAGAAGCAGGAAAATTGCATTCAAATCACCCCCAACAGATGGCCATCCAGCCTCTCTTTAAAAGTTTCCAAAGAAGGAGCCTCTACCACACTCTGGAGCATAGAGTTCCACTGCTGAACAGCTCTCACAGTCAGAACGTTCTTCCTAATGTAAAGGAGAAGATAATGTGGCATATAACCTCCCCTAAGTTGATCTTGCTACCTCCATGTGTAGTGAAAGATGTTCTTTTATCATCAGTTTCCAAAATTCAGCTAACATATTATCACTTTGTTGACATATTATCTTCTTCATCCTGGTTGGTTATAAACAAGGCAGGCTTAGGACATCATACAACCGGGGGTGACTTTCTTCTATGTGCAGAGAGTGAGAGTGGTAGCTTATAACTTGTTTTATACAGAAGATATTGCTCTGAGGATTGAGTTCTCTACTACAACTATGCCAAAATCCAGCTTGGAGCACATAGGACATGAGCCACACTGCCAGATCTATCAACACAAGAGGAACAAGAGCTTTCAGAAGAAAAATATAGAACTGATGCCCCACACTGATCAATCCATTACATCTCACATTACCTAATGGTAGGGTCAGCAAAATGCTCCGTTATGATAATAGTGTGAGTCTGAGAACCTCTTAATTTATAAGAATTAATCATCATGAGAGCTTCCTTGTATTGTTAGTGGAAACCATTAGTAGGATTTCCCTGCTTCTTGGCAGGGGGTTGGACTTAATGACCACGAGGTCTTTTCCCACTCAATGATTCCATGATTCTATGATCCTGTCACTCTAATGTACCAGGGGTCTGGTTATTTTATATATTAGGTCAATCTCTTATCTTATTATTACGGTCTTTATTGTTCTTTGATCTCCCTATTAATGAATGTCCAGTTTTATCATTAGTCCATATAGTTCTCTATATCATCCTTTCGGTGAAATTAATAGTGAAATATTCTGCTACTTTTGACCTAATCTTGTCCATGACATGATTACCTTTTAATACCTTAGTGTTGAGTCTCTGACTTATAATTGGATTGCTGGTCATCAGCTGCTTAATAAACTGGAGTGTGAACAAAAACAGGCTGATACTACTATCTAACATTTTCAGCACTAGAAGTGCAAGAATGAAGAATATATCAGTTCTACAATAAAGAATTATCTTCTGTGCTCTCATGTATTTTCCTATATCTTCCAAATGAAGAGTGCCTCATCAGCAAAGAAGGTTCTGCTTTTCGCAAGTTTCTGTTTTTAACTGGGTTAGTTGAAAGTTATTCACATTCTGACAAAAAACAGACATTGGTTCCAATGCAGGCATGTAGCCAGGGGGGGGGGCTGGGGCTTCAGCCCCCCCCCCCCACCCGAAATTCTCATGGTGGTTCGCGAAAAGGCCTTACTGGTGCATTATTTAAACTGTTATGTTTATTCATATCATGATCTGATCACCATACTCAATATATCCCATATGCATGGGGGTATTGGGGTATTGATACAAAAGGTTTGCTAGGGTAGACCCTCTTTCACTCAGACTCAGCCCCTCCCCCACTCAGCCCCCCCCCCAACCCCCCCTGAAATTTTTTTCCCCCCCCCCCCCCCCCGAAACGAAATCCTGGCTACGGGCCTGTTCCAATGGTTTTCTTTATCATAATACATTTTCATGTGTTCGTGTTTAATCATCCAGGAATAAAGAAGGAGACATGACTCTGGAGCGGGCAGTCAGTATACTGCAAACTGAAAATGCTTTGTCTCCCCGAGTTCTCGCAGCAATTGTTTACATACAGCATGAGAGCTTCCAAAGAGCAGAGGCCAGAAGGACAGTAAGTAACCAGTTTCTTGACATACTTTTTTTTTTTTTAACTTTCATGGTCTTGCAGAGGATCCTCTTGTATCTGAGGCATGGCATCTGGAATGAAATGCAGCTATCAGACAGCAAGGATGGAAAGATATTCCGCACCACTTTTCTCTGTGGATATAATTAAAATAAACTGAGACCAACACAGAGAACTGATATATCCTAAAGGCACCAAATCCCATCTCATCTTGGAGTTTAAACAGGGCAGCACTCATTGGTACTTGGATGGGAGATCACCAGTGAATTTCCAGAGGAAGGACCATGCAAAACCATCTGTGAATATTCTTTACCAAAGAAAATCCTATTAAATTCACGAGATCACCATACATTGATAGGCAAATTCAAGACACACAAACATGCACATTGGTTTTAAAAAATATTTTGAGTCCAGATTACATCAAGGATTGCCTTCACCCTTGCTGCCCTGTCAACATTGGAGGCCTGCCTGTTGCAACAACTAGATTGAAAGGTCCGTAGGATTCAGCTCTTTTCAGTGTTATCTTTTTAATTGTGGGACTGTTTTAATTGATGTGTGCCAAACCTCACAGTATTCTAAATGGGCAGGTATGCTTACATTCAGGTATGTTTAAAATAATCCCCAGTTTAATTTCAATAGAACATAAGATGAATCAAGCCATATTTCTATCTTCTAACTTCACTCAAGCCAAACATACCTGTGGTGATGGGAAGGAACTAGATAGGCAGGTGGATAGGCTATCTCTTCCTCCTACAAGGCCTGAATCAAACATGTATGAAGTCAGCTCTTGGTAAAGGAAGTGGATTATTGTTGTATTAAAAAGTAATAAGTATTGCTAAAACTGATCCTCTAACTGGCTTCATGATGCAATGACTCATTGCAAGACCAGTGTAATACATTTTCTACTTGGAGCAAAGGATAGCATTCAACCAGCCTCCCATTCCTCTCCCCTCCCATCAAGCATTCCCCCAACCCACCTCCATGCACACAAAATTCCCATTCAGACATTAACTATGTTAGCTGAAAATTGTTGACATGACACCAGTAGTAGGATTGAGACTTACTTAACATGAGGCCAGTTTTGTTGAACATCGAGAAAACCAAAATGTGCTTCCATCAGTCACCAGCCAATCTCTTTGCAATTCCAGAAATACAGCTTAATGGTGTAACATTAGAAAATGTTGACCATTTCCGCTACCTTGGCAGCCACCTCTCCACAAAAGTCAAAATTGACACTAAAATACAACACCGCCTGAGCTCTGTGAGAGCAGTTTTTTCTGAATGAAGCAAAGAGTGTTTGAGGATTGGGACATCCATAGGGATACCAAGGTGCTATTGTCCTCCCAACCCTGCTATATACCTGCAAAATGTGGACTGTCAACAGAAGTCACACTCAAGTCCTAGAATGATTCCATCAGCATTGCCTCTGAAAAATCCTGCAAATCTCTTGGGAAGACAGAAGGACAAATGTCAGCATCTGGAAGAAGCAAAGATTACCAGCATTGAAGCGATGCTCCTATGCCATCAACTCTGCTGGACTGGCCACATTGAGAATTGGGAGGCCCTGGCCCTTGAGCGCTCTAACTGGAGAGCAGCTCTCACCAGCAGTGTTACAGAATTCGAAGAGGCACGAATGGAGGGTGAAAGGGAGAAACGTGCCAAGAGGAAGCATGTCAAGCCAACCCTGACTTAGACCACCTTCCAACTGTAAACCGATATCCTAACTGCAGGAGAACATGCGAATCAAGAATAGGGCTCCACAGCCACCTATGGACCCACCGCCAAGACACTATACTTGGAGGACCATCATCATCAGGCTACAAGGAATCACCTAAGGAAGGAGGGATGGTTTAGGCCAAATCACCTATTCCACAAAACTACCAGTAAACAGAAGTGAACAGTGAAAGAGAGTAGCATCTTCAGTCTGAGTAACTTCCACATTCTGACTATAATAATAAGGCCAGTTCAGTTTGTTTGCCAAATAACACGTCCTCACTGTAGAGACTTATACTGGAAAACCTTTTGAAACACTTCACATAGCTCTATGTCTGCTGTTCACTTCTATATTTAGTATACTACAAGGTGTCAAAATGTTATTATAAACCTGTTTACATGAAGACTTGAAAAGATTTTAGACAGTACTTCCAAATATCTGTGGTACCAGCATGGACCACCTCGGTATCTCAGCTACTGATTACACTGTTGACCAAGTCATGGAAACGCTGGACATAATAAACTGTTGAGCATTCCAAGCACAAGCTCTCAGAAACAAATTCTTGACCCTGTAATTTTGTTTGATCAGCATTTTTGCAAGGAACATGTTTTGCTTAATCAGAAAACAGTTGGTTGTCCACAGACCATATACCATAACTACTTCAAAGTCTAGTTTTCTCAACATGTACTTCCATGTACACAAGAGTTCACTGTATTTATACAATAGCTTCATAATTAACAACATTAAAACAACAAAACCAAAATACATATTGTGTGACTCCCCCAAGATCACCCAGTGGTTTCCATGGCCAAGCAGGGAATTAAACCTGAACCTTCAGAGTCATAGTCCAGTGCTCAAACCTTACGCCATTCTGGGCATTGATTGCAATACAGAGCAATGGTGCCATTTTTTACTTTTATTTCCAATCATCTGTATTAGTTCCTTTTCACGCGTACATTTATTTTCTTTCTGTCTGGCTGTCACATTATTTTCCTTTCCATCTAAATCTCTCAGTTTACATCTCTCTAAAAAAAAAAACTTCCACACTTTCAAAAATACAAAAATTAAGAAGGATATAATGGCCAGTCGCTACTGCAATTCATTTGAGTTTGGGACATAATTCCATAGTCATCTGTAACAACTGGTTAAAGAGCAGTGTTGTAGATCAAGATGTGGTGATGAATGTACAGGATAATTCTCTGAGTATTGTTGGGCCACAACTCCTATCGGTCCCAGACAGAATAATTGAGGGTCAGGGATGATGGGAATTGCGGCCCAACAGCACCTGGAAGGCCACACAGATAGCAATTCATTTGGTGTGTTGATGAAGGCTTTCATGGCTCGAATCACTGCATTGCTGTGAGTTTTCCGGGCTGCATGGCCATGTTCCATAAGCATTCTCTCCTGACATTTCACCCACATCTATTTCAGGCATCCTCAGAGGTTGTGAGGTCTGTTGGAAACTAGGGAAGGGAGGTTTATATGTCTTTGGAATGTCCAGGGTGGATGAAAGAACTCTTGCCTGCTTGAGGCAAGTGTGAATGTTGCAATTGGCCACCTTGATTAGCATTTAATGGCCTTGAAGCTTCAAAGCCTGGCTGATTGCTGCCTGGGGAACCCTTTGTTGGAAGGTGTTAGCTGGCCATAATTGATTCTTGTCTGGAATTCCCCTGATTTTTTAAGTATTGCTCTTTATTTACTGTCCTGATTTTAGAGTTTCCAGACAAGAATAAATCAGGGTCAGTGAACACTTCCCAACAAAGGATCCCCCAGGCAGCAGGCAGCCACACTTTGAAGCTACAATGTCATTAAATACTAATCAAGATGGTCAATTGCAACATTCACACTGTCACTTGCCTAGTTTCCAATAGACCTCACAATCCCTGAGGATGCCTGCCATAGATGTGGGCAAAACGTCAGGAGAGAATGCTTCTGGAACATGGTCATACAACCCAGAAAACTCACAGCAACCCAATTCATTTTGGTCTTGAGAAAAACAGGGAGAGAATTTAGCACTTACTGTTTTGTGAACTAGGCCAGAAATAACAGGAAAGCCAGTGGTAAGTTTCATATGTGCATTTCTGACAATGAAAAAAAGTAGTTCGTTCAACCGAGAGCTGATTGCATTATGTAAACCTGAGCTAAAGTGTCTTTTTTTGTGTTGTATACCTGCTTATTGAAAAAGCTGCTTGTAAAGTTAAGTGAACTTTTAAACAAAACTGTGTAGTTTCTAAGACAAATTGTTTAGGTTTTCTGGCGGGATCAATGTCACTTTTCTACTGTTTGATAGACTTTTTAGACACAGCCCAGTGCTGTTATGCATGGGACAATCCAAGAAATACACTAATGTGCCATAATGTGACATGAATTTATTTTTACAGTATATTAGTATTGCTGGCACATCTATTTCTTCAAAGGTTTGGGAAGCAAACATAAAGAAAGGGAATTTCCAACAACCTCTCTATATTATGTTCCTGTTCGTTTGAAACTTGCCAGTCACCAGAATTCAACCAATTCAGTGCATGTAGCCTTCACAGATTGAGTTCTTTAAAGGTTTTATTTGATGATTTTGCAGCCCTTTTCTCACTAGCTTCCCCCCAGCAGCATCAAAGGCCCTTCCTGAAGATAAGATCACACTAAGGGGTCACCCAGGCTAGCTTATTTTCTCCAGCCAAATAGCTCTGAAAACTGATAAGTATACCCTGTTGGTGATGCCCTTTTCCTGACCTTTTTGTATAATCTCAGATTTCAGTGGCCTGGTTCTATCTCTGAAATATGGAAGTTTCATGTATTGTCGAAGACTTTCATGGCCGGTATCGAAATGAAACTTCCATAGTGTTGTTGTAGGTTTTTCGGGCTCTATGGTCATGTTCTAGAGGCATTCTCTCCTGACGTTTCGCCTGCATCTATGGCAAGAATCCTCAGAGGTAGTGAGTCAGGAGAGAATGCCTCTAGACCATGGCCATAGAGCCCAAAAAAACATACAACAACCCTATGGAAGTTTCATTTCGATATCCTAATTAATCATGTTGTAACTAATAGATCTAATGTAAATGGGATTTGAGAGATCTAGATTCTAGTCTACGGAGCCATCAACCACATGAGCCAATCTTCTTCTTACTTTTGTTTTTACTCAGCTTGACCGTGTTATAAGGATAAAAGAGGAGGCGGACAATAGTGTAGGCTTCCTTGATTCTGCAGAAGGAAACTAATATCCTCCAAATGGCTTTTTAAAAAACTCAAAGCATGTATGGTTGGGATAAAATTTCATCGGAAAAATTACCATACCAATTTTACTTTCAAAAAAAAGTTAAAATTTTGTATTTTTGCATATAGTTTTCCCTAATATATAACTATTGTAAGGATTGTTCCTAATGTATATATTTTTAATGAACAACTAGCTAAACCCGACCATGCTTCGCTGTAGCTCAGTCCGATATGAAATGAATGTGATAGTAGATAAAAGTATTGATAGATTTACTGATAAAACATATCATTCCATTCACACTCATTTTGCTGACATCCATATTTCCTATCTATTAAGAAATAATCATAGTGTAAACATATGCTGCATCTTTTTAACTTGTCAGGTTTATTCACTTGGTGGTATCCCCAAACTGGTGGAACTTCTGAATGTACAGAATGAGGATGTGCAGAGAGCAGCATGTGGAGCTTTGAGGAATCTGGTGTATGAAGACAATGATAACAAACTGGAAGTGTCAGAACAAAAGGGGATCTCTGTCCTGCTAAGGCTGTTACGGCAAACTCAAGATGTGGAGACTAAAAAGCAAATCACAGGTAAGTAAGATGTTGAGTGTTGGACTATGACTCTGGCAAACAGGGTTTGAATCCCCACTTGGCTACAGAAACCCACTAGGTCATACTCACTCAGCCTCAGAGGATGGCAAAGGTGAATCCAGTTTGAACTAATCCTGTGCAGAAAATCCCTTAAGGTCACCATAAGTTAGAAACAACAGTAGAGTGCTGCAGTCTTTGTGCACAGACTTTCTGTAACTGGTATCCTTGTTGATTAGATGACCAAAGTCTACATGTACTTTTGTTGCTAGTTGGAAGGAAATTTGGCTAGAAGGATGGTTCCTGAATGTTTTTCTATATTTTAAGAAGCAGCATCCCATACCATGTGCATCTTATATTGTCTGACCAACCACTGGCTAGAGCAAATTATCACACCCTCACAACCACCAAGCATAGCCAAAAGAGAACCAGCTAGTTCTGCTCAGTTGATGCATCTGTTTCCCATAAAGTTCAACTTAACAGCACCAAACTTAGCAATCACAAACATTTAAAAGTCATAACAAAGTGTGTGTATGTGTGTGTGTGCATGTGGTGTGGCTGCTCAGCAAGCATTCAGCTGCAAACTGAGAAAAAAGGGAAAATGCTGGCATCTTAGATATCCAGCACCAGTGATGTTTGAGGTCAAGGAAAACAAGTCAAGTTTTTTTCTCTCCCTGCTGCTAAACTACCTGGTCATTCTGCATTTTTCCCTGGCCATTAAATGGCTTTCCCAAATCATCCCCTGGCCACTGGATGTGTGTACTAATACTGTGAAGTTGCTTTGCTTTACACAATATGAAAGTCCTGAATACCTCTTTGCACAACATCCTTGAAAACATATACATGTTTGCCTCTTGCTCACTCTCTACTGATAATAGCACCTACTGGTTTATTTATTTTATTTCCAACATTTGTACCCCATCCTTCTCAGCCCCCAAAAGGAGACTCAGGGCAGCTTACATCGACAACAATTTGATGCCAACACATACAGAATACATACACAATATATCACAACATTACACATTAAATAAAAACATTAAGTTAAAATCCTTTTAAAAACATTATTAACAACGAGGTAGCCAAATTCAATCCAATTCAGCATCCAAAGACTTTGTCAGGTCACATAAACGTTGCAATCACTATCAAGCCTGCTCACCAAATGCCTGGTCCCAGAACCATGATTTAAGCTTCTTCCTTAAGGAGAGGAGGGATGGAGCTGACCTACACGAGAGCTATAAAGGATCAACAGGGTCCCCATACATTCTTTCACAATACTTTACAAGTAGGGGACCATGTCTATGATCTACTCTACAGAGAAGACATCCCCTTTTTGAAAAGTTGCCCAGGCCACATCTGCTCTAAAGAAGAAAGAAAATGTATTTGGATGAGTAATTTTGGAGACTCATAGACTATCCACTTCCTACTGTGTTGAGATGTATTATGGCACATTTAAATTACAGGATTACAGGATTTTTTCTTAATGCGCACCTATACGTATGAGTTCACATGCGCACATCGACAATCTATTTCATGGATTTGATGAGGGATTTCATCTTTGGTGATGTTTGAATAACCACCTAAGTTCCAATAAAGTATATCTTCTTTGAGCAAGCAGAATGGTTGCCAATGTGTGCTCTAATATTCTTAAACCAGTAAAATGTCCTTGTGTTATAATGATGGTGAAATGTAAGGATAACAAGCAGAGAAAGTGGCTGAATTCCAATGCTCCGGCCAGAATCCCCCACACCCTGGAATGATGACAACCCTTCTCCTGAGTAATCACCACAAATTAGGCAGTTGTTGGGAGGGGGTCAGTAGATAGAGATTGCTAATGTTAACCTATGATAAGACCGCTGCAGAATGTAGTAAATATGTCCGAGCTAAGGAATTTTGGAGGCTGATAGCACCTGATAGGATTCCTGTAAGAAGCATCTACTTAGTACCCTGGATATTTAAAGTTTCTTTTTTTGTTGATCGTGTTGAAATTTCCAGTTGGAGCTGGTGGGAGGAAATTAGTACCTTTGTTGATTCTTTAAGGAACTCTATATTCTAGGCTTGGTTTATTTATTTTTATAGTACATTGAAAATGTTGCCAAATACCTTGCAGATGTCACCAAATGTGAGAACTAGCTATTCCCAGTTTGTGAAAAATGCCTAGTTTTCAGAACTAATTTTCTTTTTAAGAGTGGGGGAGGATTTCTTTAGATGCATTTCCCCACCCCTAGATTGCGTGACTTTGGGTCTTCACAGGACTGGGAACTCTGCCCACCAGAAAGAAACCTTTCTCATTTTTTTCCTGTCCTGATCACGTATCTTAAGTAATAAAAGATAAAGCACCGTGCGACATCAGATGATAAGCTTATCTATCTTGCCTTTTGTCACCAGCCAAACACTTCTTGGGAAACCCACAAGAAAGTTGTGAAGGCCTCAGCTTGTGTTCCTCAGGACCTGGTATTCAAAGGCACATAGTCTATCATTGCCAGTAGCCGATGATACAATGATTGTCCATGAATTTTGTCACCCCCTCTTTTAAAGCAATCTAAACTCATAGTCATCAGGAGCTATTGACATTATCGGGAATTCTTTCCTCATATCAGCCTCAGTTGCACCAACAGACCTTGGGGAAATGAAGGTGAAAATCCTTTCACACCTAACAAGCATTGTCTTTCTCCTCTATTCTTCTGCAGCATAGTAGGTCCTTTTTCTGCTTGCTTGTCCACAGCATGGGAAACATGCATAAACATGGTTGTTGGCAATGGAATAGAACAGGATCGCCTCCCTAAAATGTGAGACTTTCAGTGGCCTTGATTCCATAACATACAAAAGTTTCAATTATGAAACCCAAAGTAATATATACTGAATTCTTTGGGAATGATTTAAACATGTCACACATTTGAGTGTGTTTCTTGAAAATAAAACACATTTTGATTATTATTGCTTTTGAAATAATATTTTTTACAGAAATGTGGTTGAACTCATCCAAGGTAAATGTTTTCAGATACAGAGCAAGGTTGCTTTCTCTTTGATGTTTGAATGATGGAACTATTTCAGCTCTTTTTTAAAGGTCATATAGAAAGTCATAAACTGTAGCTGTTTTTCTAAGAATGGGCCTAATTTCCCATTCTATAGTAAATGCTTTATAAAGATTTAAAAGCCCTGGGAAAGAGATGAGGAGAGATTGTGTGCCAAAGCTGATAGGAACTAAAGCTTTATTTATTATGGAGTCGGCTTGGTAGCGACAGAAGACAGCAAAGCTAAAGGCAGCCAAAACTAGCTTATGAAGGTGAGCCAGCCAAATCCTTCAGGGAGTGCCTAATGTTTTGATCTTGTCTCATACAACATACATCTAAGAAATGGAGGAACATTCCTTCTGTAGGAAGGATTATAGAACAGGCAGACAGGCCGATCTGTCCTGAAACAGAGGATAAATAGGAAAAAAGAGCGCACCTATCTGCCCAGGGTAGTTACAGTGACAGCCATCTGTTACTGTGAAGGTGGTAAGTGTGTAATGCAGCTATATCTAAAGACTAGTTTTTTCAGGCATCTCATTGTGTGAGCTTTCTTTTAATTCATGTGTCCATTGACCACTTATTCTCTGTGAAAAGTTATTTGGAGACACAGGAGCCCTGATCCCCCCAAAAATCAAATAAACTCATGACGCCTCATTTCTGTTTGGGATACATTCCAAGAGCCCCCATAGATATCTGCAACTCAGACAATAGTTAAGATAAAGATTTCCCCTAATATTAAGTCTAGTTTTGTCTGACTCTGGGGATTAGTGCTCATCTACATGTCTAAGCCAAAGAGTTGGCTTTGTCCATAGACACCTCCAAGGTCATATGGCTGGCATGACTGCATGGAGCACCATTACCTTCCTGCCAGAGTTGTACCTATTGATATACTCACATTAGCATATTTTCGAATTGCTAGGTTGGCAGAAGCTGGGGCTAATAGCTGGAGCTCACTCCACTCCCCAGATTCAAACCATCGACCTTCCAGTCAGCAAGTTCAGCAGCTCAGCGGTTTAACCAAATAGTGAACCTATATATTTTGACTATACACGGGTTGGAAGCATTCTATAGAATTGCATTTCATGTCCTAGAGAGACCCACAAATACTTGCGGGTGGAGGAGGCATATATTTTCGAGCATGTGTAAGTAGACCCATGGATAAATCGAATCCATAGATAAGAGAGTCATGCTGTTTTGGCAAATGCAACTTGCATGTTATCTTCCTTCTGGAAATCTATGTCCTCATTGTGAAAGACCATGCGGATCCAGAATAGTCACTACAGTCACTATAATGGACCCATCACCAAGATTTTACCCTTGGAAGACAATCATACACTGCCACGAGTGATTGCCTGTGATGATGAGTCTAATAAATAGTTATTTGTCCAGGGTCAACAACTGAAAATCAAATTATCTCAGTATTCTATCCACTACCTCTACAGTATATAAAATTCATTTATTTCCTTGTTTCGCAGTAAGTGGTCATAAACAGGTGTGGCAGTCATGTCAACATCATAAATACTGCTTTTCCCCTACCCTTCTAACATGACAATGCCACTACTGTTTTTGACTATTACAAAAGAATGATTATCCATGAGCCAAGGGTGAGAAGGGGTTTGGTGCCGAGATTTAAATACCATCTGCACTGAAGTAAGATTTAAAAGATGTGTTTTGGAATTCAGAGCAGTTAGCTGAAACAACAATAGTTCTCTTTGTAGAGCAGAGCCAATGTTCATATGATATATTGCCAGATGATACTTAACAAAATCTCATTCCAAAATATAGGGGGCGGGGAAATGGAAAAATACTTCTGGTAAATTCCTCTGGTCAGGTTTTTAAAATACACAGATCTCCAAATGAGATCCAGCTTTCCTGCGTCCCAGGCACCCTTTTAATCAACACAATTACAGTGCTATGCCATTTACCCCCTTTAAAGTTTTGAGGAACAAGTAGATCTGTGACCAGAGTATCAATAACATGAGATCTAAGCTTGGTTTTATCACAGAACTAACAAAATACAAGAGGCCCTTGGCATCCATTGAGCTTTGGTTCCAGGACGCTCTGTGGAGACCAAAATCCATGGATGCCCAATAGCGTAGTAAAAGGGTGCCTCTTGTATAAAATGGCAAAATATGGGTGGCTGAATCCAGGGAAACAGAATCCTTGGATACAGAGGGTCAACTGTTCTACTGAATACTGCAATGTGATCTACGTGGGGTTGCCCTAGAAGACTGTTTGGAAGCTCCAAATGGTCCAACGGGTGGCAGCCAGATTGTTCACCGAGCGGCATACAGGGGTCATACAACAACATACAACACCCCTGCTACATCAGCTCCACTGGCTGCCAGTCTGTTACTGGGCTCAATTCAAAGTGCTGGCTTTAGCCTATCAAGCCCTAAACAGTTCTGGCCCAGCTTACCTGTCCAAACAGATCTCTCCCTATAAACCATCCCAGAGCTTAAGATCATCTGGGGAGGCCCTGCTCACCGTCCCGCCTCCTTCACAGGTGCAACTGGCAGGGATGAGAGACAGGGCCTTCTCAGTGGTGGCCCTTCGGCTGTGGAACTCCCTCCCCAGGGATATTAGATCAGCCCCCTCCCTCCTGAGCTTCCATAAGAAAGTGAAAATGTAGCTTTTTGATCAAGCCTTTGGAGAGCTTGTACAATAGATAAATATTGAATTATGTGCAATGACTATTGGAACAACCCAGACTATGACTTTGGACAATGTGGTTAACACTGGAGGGATTGTTTTATATGTTTTAAAGGTTTTAATGTATTTTATAATTCTATTTAAATGCTTATTTTAATTGTACATTGTTTTTGAAGGCATCAAATAGTTGCCTAAGTGTAAAGCCACCTTGAGACTCCTCTGGGGTGGAGAAAGCTGGGGTGGAAATGTCACAAATAAATAAATAAATAAATAAATATTACCATTATAACTGGTAAATGAAGAACCCAAATGTGCCACTGACTTGGTCAATGAGAGAAAGCTCAGCTAGTAATACAGGAGAATAATTTAAGTGGAGGGCAAGGTAGAGTAATTTTAAAAATATTTTTTTTCTACATTGGGAGTTTGGGTGGTGGCTTGGAGAACCCAAAAATAGTCCTGATGCGATCTGTGACTTTCATACATACCAGTTGTAATGTGAATGCCTTGGTGGGGTGTTGTTAAGAGTGTTTGGAAATGAGTAGCTAAGATAGACAACCTTTGTGTGGTCACACTCTTGTGCAACTGAAGCAGTTTAGCAGCTTTGCTAAGTTTTTTTTTAAAAGACAGCTGTGTAATTCAGCTACCTTGGAACAAATTATCTGTGATTTTTGTCAAGGCTTTGCAAAATAAACTTCAAATTCTGCATGTAGTGGAACATTCAAAAGACGAAGTACTCTTTTTCTAAGTCCCTTTACAAACCACCACAAAGACTAAGATCTTCTGGGGAGGCCCTGCTGTCGGTCCCATCACCGTCACAGGTGCATTTGGTGGGAACAAGAGTCAGGGCCTGATCAGTGATTGCTCCCTGGCTATGGAACTCCCTTCCTGGCAACATTAGATCAGCCCCCTCCCTCCTGTCCTTCAGAAGGATGGTGAAGACCTGGCTGTGGGACCAAGTCTTTGGGGCAGTGCAATGAGGCAATAATAGAATTGTATCCTGAGATGGTTTTTAAGCAACTGATTTTAAAGTGGATATAAGTTATTTTAATGTTTGCGTATATTTATGGTTTTAATGTTCCGGCATTGAATGTTTGCTGTATATGTGTTGTGCTCCACCCTAAGTCCCCTGAGGGGTGAGATGTGCAGAATATAAATGTTTCAAATAAATAAATAAGTGTATACTTACAGTCCATTTTAGATTTTGTGGAGTTTTGCTAACATGGTTTAATGGCAGGGCTTGAAGAATGGGTATGGCAGGCAAAAACTCAACACACAAAGCCTGTAGAATATAGTATTGGTAGAAATTATACTAATGGACTTTCTGGTAGCCTTCCAGTTGATGTCTCATCCAGTGGGCTCTTGGGACCCAGACTGGACCTTCCTCACTCTCATCATCCTTCAACAGATGCTATACTGACTGGGATTGATAAGCATGGTAGTCCTACACCATAGGGCAGGGCTACACTTCCCTGCTCCTAAAACAGCGCAAACTCCATTCCCACTTTTGTTTTCCTTTCTGATATCATGAGAGTATGAAAGTATCGAAGAAAGGAGTATGAGAGTGAAAGAAAAAGAACAGGGAGACTTGTTTGCAGCCAAAATTGAAGAGTTCAGTTAAAAGGGAAATTTGGAGTTCAATTTGGCTTACTCACACTCTGCCACTACCAAAATAGCAGGTTTAGAAAAGAGGCCTGTCAGGCAACAGTCCTGCATAATTTCTTCCTTCACAGAGTCCTCACTTTGAAGGTCTGTCCACTTCATTTGCCGGGAATGGAATGTGAGTGCCACAGATTTATTTTAATTCCCCATCCTCAGCCCAGTTTATGGAGGAGCTACTAGATGCAGCCAAGGTTGAACACATCAAAAGTTTATGAAAAGGAACCAATTCCAAACTTACATACAACAACACTGCACCTTGGGAGCTGGGAGCTCCCGCTTTCTGCCATTCACGCACCTGTTCTGGAGCCATTTAATAAAGTACTCATGTGCATAACACCATTGCTTCCAATATCAAAAGTAGTGTGGTTCTCAATACTTAGGAATATTGCTATCTGGTTGGCCACTGTAGAGGCAAGATGCTATATTATAATATTATTTGAACTCAGCTCTGTTCACAATTCTCACAGGCTAATAGTGTAAGCTATATGAGGGAAGAAGTGCTGTTACGATCCTGTTTTCTATACCTTCTCTAGGTTTATTATGGAATCTCTCCTCCAATGACCAGCTGAAGCATTTACTGATTCGAGAGGCCTTGAAACCACTGACAGAAACCGTCCTCATCCCTTACTCAGGATGGCCAGATAGAGATTATACAAAGTCAAGCATCTTACCAGATCCTGATATCTTCTACAATTCTACAGGATGCCTGAGGTATGCTGTGCCCTCTTGACATTAACTAGCATGGTTTTGAACATCTTATTGCCTAAGCAATTAGTCTTTCAGGTAGTGTACAAGTGATACGAATGTGGTTGGCCTTTTTAGGGGGCCCTTGCTCAGCAATAGCCTGGAAATATGAAAATCAAAGAAATAGATCTGAAAGTTTTCTTTACACGTTGAAGATCTGCTATGAAACACCTGGTATCTATCTAGCACACTGTTGTTTACTCTGTCTAGCAAACTAGATCTCTGAAATTTTTGTAAGTGGATGCATACAATGTATACCTCTACACAATTGTATAAGCTTTCCCAATGAATAACCATCCCTGCCATAAAAGCATCTCAAGAGCTGTACCAGTGTGTCACAGGAAAAGTGGCTTCTGAGGAAGCATTTGGAGAAATAAAACCATAAGTGATTGAGACATTAAGGAAGAAGGAGAAGAGCTGTCTAGAAAAGGGGTTCTTCAGACACCTGAGATGGTGCCTTGTAGGTTATTCTTGAAATGACATAACTAAGTCCAGTTTATTAAAACAAGACAAGAATTTGTATCTTTATTAAGCATTTCTGGGGCTATCATTATGGGGCCGTTAACTAGATAAGGTGGAAAGAACCAGACAGGAAGTATTAACTGGACAACAGTTCATGGGAGGGTAGATGTTCCTCCTTAAGGGTTGTCACCTTGTCCTTTTGCAAATGGCAGACTAGTCCATGAGAAACAGTACAACCAATATTGTCATTGTGATTAATGTTATGATGGATCGTACTCCCTCACAGAATCCTCATCACTGCATTCTTTATTGAGAAGTATGAAAATGCAACACAAGCGTTTCACAGGACTGGTTGTACTGTTAATCTGAATGAGACAGCTGGCTCAGATACCAGGAATCCTGAAAGACTACTAATTAGGGAATGGAATTATTATTGTACATATCAATATATAAGTCTGCCTCATATGTAAGTTTAGGATAGGTGTTGGAGCCAAAATTATGGATTTTGATATGACCCGTGGATAAGTCGCAGGTCATTCCACAAAGAGGGGAAAGTGCCAATGCTGCCTCAAACTCTCCAGCTCTGGCTGCCATTCTTGTTTTTCTGTCTAGGAATTCAAAAAAGCCAGAGGCGGAGCTACAAGAGAGAAAGTAGAGGCATTCAATGCTTCTTTTAGATTCTCCTGACTATTCTCTTTCCTTTCACCACTCTACTCAGAGAAAGGAATGTTCTCCTTTTTGATAAGAGTTAAGATGATTTTTTTTTGAATAAATGTACTATATAAGGTATTCTTGGAGCCCCCAGTGGCGCAGTGGTTTAAACCACTGAGCTGGTGAGCTTGTTGACTGAAAGGTCGCAGGTTCAAATTCGGGGAGCGGAGTGACCTCCCACTGTTAGCCCCAGCTTCTGCCAATCTAGCAGTTCAAAAACATGCAAATGTGAGCAGATCAATAGGTACCGCTCTGGAAGGTAACAGCGCTCCATGCACTCATGCCGGCCACATGACCTTGGAGGTGTCTATGGACAACGCCAACTCTTCAGTTTAGAAATGGAGATGAGCACTACACCCCAGAGTCGGATATGACTGGACTTAATGTCAGGGGAAGATCTTTACCTTTACTTACTATAAGGTATTCTGCTTTTACTGCCAAAAAGGAGGAGCAATTTTCTGCCCTCTATGTCATAATAATTTGGGCATGAGCCTAATACTGTAGTGGGTCCCAAACTTTGGTTCTCCAGATGTTGCATACTTCAGTTCCCACAATTCCTGACTGTTGGCCAAGCTAGCTGGAACTTCTGCCAGTTGAAATCCAAAACACTTTAGGCCCAAAGTTTAGGAACCACTATAATACGGGGTGGGTAGATATTTGCTACTCCACCTCTAGTAGCAGAATGAGTTGATTATCCTTTGTTTAGTTCTGCTTATTTAAAGTAGAGGAAGATACAAATTCACATGTGATGTATACAGGGACTTGGACTGGATGGCCCTTGTGATCTCCTCCAACTCTATAATTCTTTTATTCTATTCTGGAAACTCAGATATCTCCTGGTGTTCAATGAAAGACTGTTCCATGGAGGATATTAGCTAGTACATGCTGGTACATGTGCTCAATAATAGCTACTGCTCAGACAAACAAAGCAGCTACCGGTGGGAATAATTCAGATAAATAAACTGGCAGGCAGGAAGCAGCTCGTGATCACTCTTCTATTGATCACTCTTCCCTGCTTCTGTCTCAAACTTATGTTAAAGTTAAAGATCCCCAGCGCAGAGAATCTTTGATTTCATTTGATGTCTTGGATGTCTAAGGATCTGAGAGGTTTTAATATTAACTATAGACAGGTCTATGAATGCCGTAGATTTGAAAAAGTATATGAAAATTTTGTGCCAAAGTAGCTCAAAATCTTTGCAGAAAAAAAACCCAGCATGCTCTTAGTCATGCAAATTAAGTGCATTGGCTTATATTGTGTAATTTACAGTACTAATCATTAGGAAGAGCAACATACTATTATTATTTATTATTTATTTATTTACTTCATTTCTACCCCACCTTTCTTGACCTTGGCAGGGACTCAAGGTGGCTTACAAATCCGGCAAAAATTCAGTGCCAGACAGGTAAACAATAAAACACATCTCATCAAAATATAAACAATCTAAACATATAAGCGATTAAAACACATATCAATCAATCAAACAGATTAAAAACCATATAAAATGCAGTCATACTATTCAGGGTGATCTAAAGTTGCAATCATAAATTATCTAGCGATTCCTCTTAGCCTTTTCCCTGGATTCCGAAAATGTCAGAAGTTTTCCATAATATATATATCCAAAAATATACACACAGCTTTAAGTGCTGGAACCCAACCTCTCTTTTAATTCCTTGAGTTTAAGGATACTACCCCCCCACCCACCCACTCACCCCACCATATAAAAAGACATAAAATATTTGCAAAATATTAGTTTCACAATATTTCCCAGTTATTATGCTGTTGTCATTTGAGATTTTTCTTCGTGGTCTCTGCGAATGCACACTTGTGGAGAGACTGCGCCTGCGTGGGCTCCAACGGAAACTTCTACATTTCAAACTTTTCAAGTTTTGGCGGTAACCCCGCCCAGCCCCGGCAGGGGATAAAAGGGCGCCCCGCGCACACCGATCCAATTCCTTTTTTTCCGCCGCACGGCTCGCTTCGGTACTTCTAGTATTGGATAGTGTTAGATAGTGTTGGATAGTGATTTCTTGAATTCTCCTTAGAGTTTCCTCGAGTTGTTGACTATATTATGTCAACAACTCGTTTCAAAAGATGCGCGAAATGTCCGAAGAAGATCCCTGATTCGGACAAGCACGCTCTTTGCCTTTTGTGTCTCGGAGAGGCACATATCACCTCCTCGTGTCGTCGTTGTCAAGCATTGACGGCACAGTCCCGTAAAAACAGGGTCCATCGGCTTCGGTACCTTCTATACCAACAGACGTTGGCTCCGGTACCTTCAACATCGACATCGGCGTCGACGTCGGCCGCGGTGTCTAGACCTTCGACAGCAGCTTCGACGTCGAAGGCACCGACAACAACATCTGTCGATCCCTCGACAGAGGCCGAGCCTCGCCAGTCAAAGGCGAAGAAGGCCGCGCAGAAGAGGCCGAGAGCAGCTATGTCGACTACTTCGAAGGCCTCAGTGTCGGCAGCTTCTAAGGCTCCAAAGCCTACGAAGCAGAAGGCTCCTTGCACGGTCACTACTGAGACCGTACGTATCCGGCACTCGTCGACCAGCTCGGTGGTATCGGTGAGATCAGCCAGGTCCACGAGGTCGACTTCTGCGACTCCGCCATCTTCCACGGCGGTTCGCATTGCCTTCCGCCGGTCGCAAGAGGAGTCTCGACGTGCCTCCACCTCATCCTCCGTCCCGCCCACCCCGGGCAAATCGCTGTCAAAGACTGCTCAACCACCGGCAAAGAGGAAGAAGACGATGCCGCCTCCATCCTCGTCTTCTTCCTCTTCCCAAAAACAAACCACCGCCTCCTCGGCCACCTCGTCGGCGAGGTCATCACCGTCGCAGCCTACTGAACAGCCGGCCCCACAGCCTGTTCAGGAGCCGCAACCTTTGCTGGAGCAGCCTTCGGAGCAGCCCGAGTCCCCAGTGATCTCGGTGGACACGGTGATCGAGGCACCAACTCGACACGTGACAGCCAGACAGGAGCTCTTCCCGTCGGTCACGGCGTTGACTACTGTGACAGCCAGACAGGAGACCTCTCCAGTACTGGAGACTCCGGAAAGGGGCAGACAGACAATGAGACTGGCCCGTGCCATTCAGGCTTCGGCCTCAAAAGCTCCTCCAGTGGCTCCGCTGCAGCTTCAGAGCCGGGATGCTTCCTCATCCCCTCCTCCCCAATCCCTGCCTCCTGATGATGAAGAGGAAGATGGAGAGTTGCCAGGATCGGTACACTCGGGATCGGTGTTGTCTCTCGGGATCGAGAGATCACCTACCCACGACGCCTATGAGGCGGATCCTCCATCTCCCACTGACAATGTCCGAGCCTTTACGGATCAAATGGCTCGCATGGCTGAGGCTCTGGGCCTGGAGGTCAAGCAGACTTCCAAGGCAGTGCTGGACCCGGTGTTTAAAAGGGTGCAGAGGGAATCTCCACCCGCTCCTCTTCTACCCTTCCTTCCCTATCTCCTTGAAGTGATCCAGGGCTCTTGGAAGACCCCCTCCTCCATCCCTCCAACCTCCAAGAAGATTGAATCTTGGTATAGAACTGACGATGAGGGCTTGGAGTGGCTGAAACACCATCCCGACCCTAACTCGGTGGTCGTGAAGGCGGCTCAGGGGTTCGGAAGGCAGTCCTCGGCGCCATCCGATCGCGAAGGGAAGAGGTTCGACGCAGTAGGCAGGAAGCTTTACTCCGGTGCCCTCTTGCTGGCCCGCATGGCCAACTACGGGGCTTGTATGGGAGCATATCAGCAGATCCTATGGGAGAAAGCAGAACCCTTCTTCCAGAGGATGTCG